ATTTTCAAAAATATTCTTCATACTTTTATGTACATATTTTAATTTTTAATTTTTTTTCATATAATCATTCTAATGTAAGTTTTACAATCCTAATATAATTCTTACATCTAACATAAATGAATAAATTAATATTATTTATAACTTCTCTTTTTATATATTTTTTAATTTTTATTTTCAAAACTCTTTTTCTTACACATTTTTCATAAGTTTTTCCTTTCTTTATTGTTTCTTAAACTTTATCTCATAGACTCCTCCTTAAATTCTATTCAATGATGTCTATTTATAACCTTCATTATCATTTAGTTTCTATAGTTTTTTTTTTTACTTTTGCCGTTATAATTTTTCTCACATCACATCTTTGTACTCATATTCTTAGTTTGTTAAATATGTATGCTATTTTTTATTTAATATATACATATTCTAGATATAAATTATATTAGTTTTTTATTTCTTAATTACTTACGAGGAAGTAATTATATAGAGAAATATGAAAAAAAAAATTACATGTGGGAGAAATTTGATTGTATGTGTCTCCATTTAAAAATAATCGTATAAAAAAAATGATAGATAGACCCTAAAGGAAAAAATATATATATACATTTGACCTCTTAACTTTTTATTTGGACCGGTGAAGAAAGAAAAAACAGGATCAGAAAGTGTGAAAAAAAAGAAAAGAAAAAAAAGAAAAGGAAGTGAACTATGTCTTAGTATGTTTTTTAAAATATTATTTTCTATTCTTTTAATTATTATAATAATAATTAATTTTATTTAAAAATAATAAAAAATATTTTAATCAATTAAATTAATTTTATTATATAATTTATTTATTCGTTTTTTATTTAAATATTTTTTTTACTTTCTTAAATTTAATCTTCAAACTATAAGTGAAAAAGGTGATACGGTGATAATAAGATATAAAATTAGAAAAAAAAAAAAAATTAGAGGTTGACTGTTGTTGGAAGATACCCTGTACATGAAACACTATTCACATGTTTAGTTGTTTTTTTAACTGTGTTGTTGGAGTAATTCCAAAATTTTATTAAATATTGATTTATGATCCATAATTATGTTTACATCATGATATTTTATTTATTTTTCTCTAAAATTGTAAAAAGTATAACCTTTTCGTATTCCATCTTCTTTTTCTCCAAGATTATTGTGAGTTTCGTTTTGAATGAATTGTTTGTAAGGTGTTGCAAAGGTCAACTTACTTTTTTTTTTTTTTATTCTTTTTGTGGTTGAAACCTTTCTAATGAACATTTGTTAAAATTATTTTATATTAAAAATATTGTTTAATGAAATTGAATTTTAAAAAATTGATATTGATCAAGTCTTTCACATTATCACTTCTTTTTAAGTTATTATCAAAGGGGACTGTTTATATGAACAGGCGGAATAAAAATTTTAGTGGAAAAATCAATATATAAAAATAATTTAAATATATTATATACAATATTTAATAGGTTAAATATTATTAATTGAATTTATATTTTAAAAATTATATTTTATTTATTTTTTTATTGAAAAATAAGTATATAATTTAAAAAAAATATTTTTAAAGTTCAACCTAAATTTTTTATTTATACTTTAATATTAAAATAAAATATTAAAATAATTAATTAATAATAAATAAAAAAGTATATATTAATATTTTATATTTTTATAATATATTATACATACAAAGTTATTATAATAATAAAAAAATACATTTATTTATTTTTTATTTTAAAAGTTTTTTGTCTGGTATTTTTTTAATTTCTTATCATATATCTTCAATGAACAGAAAAAATTATAAATTAAAATTTTTTATGACAAAAAGAGAAAAATTTATTATCTTGTAAGCTTAGACACATGGAAGACAAATGAGTAATAAAAAAAAGTTTTAAGTGAGAGAGTGAATTGGTGAAAGAAGAAAAAAAATAAAAATAAAAATATATTAGAAAAAAATATAATTAAATATTTATAAAAAATAAATATGATATTTATTATAATAAAAATATATTTATAGATATTTATTATATATATATATATATATATATATATAGATATATATATATATATATATATATATATATATATATATATATATATATATATATATATATATATATATATATATATATATATATATATATATATATATATCAAATGACGAGAGGGGTGCGTACCTGATGTCCCCTACAAGATTCAGTTTGGCTTTAATGAGAAACTGGAAGAGTGAGTCCCACCAATTTATTTTTGTCTTCTAAATTCACCCGTAGGATAGATCGTTCAAACTGTCCTTATTACAAGTGATTATATATATATATATATATATATATATTTTTTTTTTTTTTTTATATCTCAAATAAATTATTCTTAGTATAAATATATAATTTATTTATATTATATTTGAAAGTTACTTACACAAAAATTAAGTTTTATATATATATATATATATATATATATATATTAAAAGATAATAATAGTGTTAGTGTAATTTTTATTTATTTATTATATCAATATTTATATTAATAAAAGTTTTATTATCATAAATTATTTATATTTTTTATATAAAATCTAGAGAAATATGTATAAATATTATATTTCATTAAAATTGACAAATATATACAAAATAGTAAAAAAAAATTAAAAAATCAAACAGATAAAATATTTAAATTTCTTGAATCTTTGAAAATTTATACTATATAATTTAAGACAAAGATAACAGTCACCCAAATTAAAACTTGATTATATCTAATTTTAAAAATTAAAATTAAAATATAATAAAGATAACATTGTAAGAACTTTTTTATTAGTATAAAATGATTTTTAATTACGTTGTATTATTTTAGAAAAATAATATAAGAATATTAAATTATAATTATTTATTTAAATAAGTTAATTTTTAATATTATTTTAAAATTTAAATTAATTATTTTATATTTAATCATATACTTTCAATTTATCATATATAAACATATAAAAAAGAATTACTTCTTTAAATAATTTTTATAATTAAATATTATCCATAAATTATTATAAAAATAAATATATTTATAAATATTAAAAAATTATTTCAATTTATATATAAATTAATTTTATTTTAATTTATTTATAACTATTTTATTAAATAGTTATTTTAAATTAAATTATACTTTAATCCTAATTTATATTTATTTTATTAAAATTATATAAAAAATATTTTTTATCCGTCTTCAATTTGTTTTATTATTTAATTTGTTTTGATCAGTCAAATTTAATTTTCTCAATTATAATTTTTTATTATATTTTTTTTATCAAGATTTTTAATCCAAACTCATGGTAAGTTTTGAAAGGAGGTGACTAGATTTCATCAACTACGATGCACAACAATTGGACAATGAGATCTTTGACTAATAGATCTACAGGCCCACCATGTTGCGTCATCAGTGAAAAATCCTAGGTTGATAAGAGAAAGAAAAAACTCCACAAAAATAAATAAAAGTTAAAATTAAAATTTTTAAAAAATCCTGTAAGTTACTCATATATTTTTACTCTTGTTATCCAACTTAATAATTGAAGTAATTTTAATAAACAATAATATACAGACAGTTGATACTAAATTTGATTATGAAACTAAATTTTGCAATGGAGTGATTTGGACGCGGGTAAGAACTGGATATAAAGTTTGAAAACATGAAAAAGGGGATTTTCATTTTTTTTTATTGATTTCCAACACTTCTTATTGGTTGTTGAAGCACACCTTGTGATTTTTTTGAAAGATACATCAATTTTCACATCACCATACTAAAAGGAGAGTGTGTGACTAAGGTCACTTCAAATACCTTCAATTGTGAAAATTATTCTTAATGCCTTCATATAATGACAACAACAATACAAGTAATGGTGCATTCGCGAAAATCTAGATATTTTTTAATTGAATTAATTATTTTATAGTACATTACAAATTAGATTTGGACAAATATACTTGTTAAATAAATAATAGGTATTAAAGTTGTTACGTAGAAGAGATAATAATAATAATAATAATAATAATAATAATAATAATTTATGTTTATGTATTTTTCACAGAAAAGTAGGTGGTTATTTGATCATTTATTTATATTATTTAACATATGCAAAATAAAAAAAATTTCAGTCATTTCTACTTTTATTATAGTGAAAATATTAAATTTCCAAAACTAATTTTTAAATTTAAACATAACCCGTCTCCTAAAAATATTAGAAAAATCTCTTCCATGTACCATAAACTTTAATGCAAATATCTACAATGACATGATTCTAGTGGCATCTAATTATTAATTGATTTTACAATGTGAGTTTACATCCTTGAATTATATGGTTTCTTTCATTCACACGTTTTTTATTTATTAACAAATAGTGAAATTTATATATAAAAGATCTATTTATTAATATATTTATATACAGGCTATTTAATATTTATTTAAGTATAATTTATTTATATATAAATATTATATATATTCTACCAGTACTTTTCATAAATTATGTTAATATTAATTAAACAATTTTATAAGCTAAATTTTAAAAATATCAATTAAAAATAAACTGTGTCATATTATATATAAATCATTTTTTATTCATAACAGAATCCAAAACTATTCTATCAATAGATGGATGTATAGATATTTTTAATATTTAAGTATAAAATTGAATATATCAAATTTAGGATCTGAGTTTTGGTGGTAAGCAATGATTTAATGTTATTTGGTATTAAGATTATTGATAATGTTATTTGATTTTACATGATCAAATTCCCTTACAGGAAAATTAGTGTTCCAAATGGACTTCAAATATCTCGTGTTAACTTCCCTTCCTGTCTAAAAATGAATGGATGTAAATATGCAGGAGAAAAGTTATTCCATAGAGAGATTATTTTTCAGCATTTTTATATAGGCGAAGATTCCTTGTAAGAAATATATGATAAACAACAAAAACTGCAAGTATGTGTGGATTTTCTTCACTTTCAGATGACATGCATGTTACATTCGAGCGTGAAATCACTCATCTGACAATCCTGCAGCGAACAAAGATTGAAAAAGGTCCATCACAGGTTTCTTCAGGACAACCTCAACTTCAACACCACCTTTCACTTCTCTGTTCTCTGCCAATCCAATTGTTAAGGCTCTATCAATCGATGCTATCTCTACCTTGGAAGGCTTTCCCCACCCGAAATCATTCCCATAAACCCCAAAACGGTTAGACCCAGCAATTCCCATGATTTCAACTCCCTCTTTGGCCAAATTAACATATCTAGAAGCCAGACCATCTGCCCCATGAAAAACACCCTCTTCTAACATCTGTTTTATTTTACTATAAATACTTTTGGCAATAATGACAAACCCTTCTTCCTCTGTATATTCCCATGGCTTAGCATCCACCAAAAGCCCCGACACACAGTTCCCAAAATAGTTTTCAGGAATTGGAGGATCCAATCTCGCCCTGCAATCCACAGTGAACCCAAAAGCAAACTTATTTTTCTCCTTTTCAACTCCGGCGTAGGCCTTTGCAATGCACACCGAAGTATAAGCGCATGTTAGAACAAAGGACGACAGTTTGGTTGGAGTTGTTGAAGAAACTCTGGAGTTCGACTTTGATTCTGCTTCAACTATATCAACACTATTCCACTTGGAAAACACCCTATTTCTTAATTTCTCCAGATCTTCTCCAGTGAGCGCGAATGCCCCTCGAACCCGATTCTCCAGCTTTGGAGTGAAAGGTAGAAGCTTCAAGCATCTTCCGTCGCTGTTTTCACTTGGGAACAATTGGGATAAGATCTCAGTCCAATTGGTTCTGAAGTTGAGCCCTAACGCCTTCTCGCTTTTGATGACTGTTCTGTCAAAGAAAGGCTCCAACTCTGGAGCCAAAGATGGTGATGACTCTGAGTCATCATCATTGATTTTGCACATAGAAGCCCAAGTTTTGATGAAAGCAGTTGAAGTTTTTCCGTCAAGGACTGCGTGATGGGTGGTGGTTCCTATGGCGAACCCTCTGTTAGGGAATAGAGTAATTTGGAGAGCGACAACAGAGGCATGAGAATCCGAGGATTCCAAGTGGGGCACCAAACAACGTGACTCTGACGCTTCTTTGGGTGCGTTGTCCAACATGTGGTCGAAATCGGATTCGGATTCTGCAAGGACCAGTGAAACGGCGTCGCCAGGGGTGTACTGAACGACGGGGCTGGAAGAACCGTTGGGCCACACAACGTTGCCGGCAAGAGGGGAGAAGTATTGGAGGGTGTGAGAGAGGGAAGTTTTGAGCTTTGGAACAACTTGGGTGTAGAAAATGGGTGGGTGTGAATGAGGTGTAGGGAGGGTGTAGAAGAAGATGCGTTCCACAGGGTGGAACCTGAGCCAGAACAGGTCAAAGAAGGTGAGAGGGAGGGATATTTGGGATGCAGAGGGAGGAGCAACAGTACAGTGTTCGTGGATTTTGATGTTACGAGAAGCCATGTGAAGAAACTAGTTAGTGTGTGTGTGTTTGTTTCTTTCAAGATTGGAAAACCCAAGGGTGGTGAAGCTTTGGTTTTATGATCAGAAAGGTTGCATTATGGGGTTGAAGTTGTGACTCCTGATAAAAAGATGGTGGCATCGAAATCAACAAATTTTGCAAGCTGGATAGTTTTGGAAATTGAACTGAGAAGGTAAAGTGGGGTAATAATATTCATAAATCATCTGTACTCACATCTCGGGAATAGTTCTGGATTCGGACTAACCAATATTTTTCAACGGAAAATGATGATGTAATAACTTAAATTCATATCATTCTTATAAATAATTATTTTTTAATATTATAATAATAATTTTAATTTATTTTTATTAAATTATTTTATAAATTATTATATTAATAAAAATAAGTTACTCGAAAGATTATATGATTTGCAGTTATCATCCTATCACCACTCTTTCTCAACGGTTTTTGTTTTAAAAAATTGAAAAGAATAATTTTCAATGCTTTTTAAATTTTTAATTTTTTCAGTTGATTTAATTTTCAACACCTCGAATTATTACTTAAAAAATATGGTATTTTTTAAATATTTTATCCTTTTTCTTATATCTATTGTATTTTTTATTATATTAAATATTTATACTATTTTCATTATATATTTTTTTACCATTTAAATCCATCTATAGAGTGAGATAAATATTTATATTATCCTATAGTATAAATAAAAAAAAAAGTAAAATTGGTGAATATAATAAAAAAAATTCATAAAGATTTTATTTTATTTTTATCTGTGTTTATCTTTTATGTCTTAACGTGTGTAGAATGACGAGAGGGATGATTAAAATGTTGTCGTCGTTTTGTATGAGCCGGCAAGGGAAACAAATTGACAAGTGCTGAGCAATATTTGAATTGAAGACTATTATTGGCTTAAAAAAATGAAGAAATAATATTATATTTATTTTTCTTGGGCACATTCATACTACCCTTAATGCTTTGGTGAAGATTCTTTGGAAAATTTTGGGTGACCGGTAAGTTGTCCTGTTTCTTGTTGTCGTGGTATGTCTTTCAACATTTTTGGTCTTCTTGGGAGTGTCGACATTTATTTATGTAACGACGGGTCACAGCAATGACTAATTCATGGAACACGTGTGAAAAGTAAACAATCAAAATAAACATGTAAAAAATTAACATTATTCATAGTCTTTACAAATAAACCTACCAGCTTTTAAATAATATATAACATAAAAGAAACAAGTTGTCATTAACATAAGAAAATATTAAAATGATAAATTATTTTTATTTATCATATTATTTAAAATGTTACAACCTAACAGAGAGAACAACAAAAATTGGTATATTTCTTTACAATATAAAATACTTCATCAGTTACATTCCATACTAAAACTAATAGAATAATACAATAATATATTGTCATGAAAAACAAATAAATAAAAAATTGAATATACGTGTGAATAAATAACAAAATTATCATTACGTAGATGGTTATAATTTACTTTTAATAATAACTTTTGATATTTTAATTACATTTTAAATTATTTTAATACATTTTTAATACTAATAAATTTTAAATTACTTATATATACTGAATTATATTAATATTATAGTTATTTTAATTATATTACTATTCCTTTTATCCTTATTATGCAATTGAAAAGTAAACCAAGAGGTAATTTTGTTATAATATATTAAATATATTTTGTATTCATTATTCTTTTATGTATAAATCATAAGTAATTCATTTGTTACGTAATATAAAGCAATAAATTATATATATATATATATATATATATATATATATATATGACTATTTTAAAAATAGTGCAAAAAATATTATTCATAATTATATATTATTTATATTGCTTAATTTATGTACCTAAAAATAGTCTAATTATTTTAATTAAAACTATTATTTTTTAATTATCATGATTAATAGTTTGATTTTTCAATGAAAAATTAGTTATGATTAATGATGAATACTGAAAAATAATACTAGAATAATATCAAGAATTTGAAAGTGATAAAATTTCCTGCAATAACTAATATAAAAAAAGTGTAATAACACAAAACATAATAATGATCGAAAAAGATTATTATTTTCACAAAATAATTATATAGCGATTTTTATTTAAATAAAAAATAGAATCCAAACCATCAAATTTTGTGCACGAGACAAAATTTAAGGACAACTTCTCCCACCTCTCTGGTTTATTAAACCAATTTTATATAATAATAATAATAATAATAATAATAATAATAATAATAAAAATATTATTATTATTATTCATAAATATATAAATTAAAAAATTTAAATAATAATAATAATTTTATCTAAATAATCTAATATAAGAAAATTACTTTTATTTTATTTGTATTGTTTTTTTTCCTGTATCTTTTTTTTCCTTCTCTCTTATAAACATAATGATTGTTGTTATCAGGCCAACTGAGTTTTCAAATTAGTAGATGGATGTAACATGACCCGAACAATTAATTAGGTACGGCCTAAATATTAAATACTTAAGCCGAAAATTTTAGGCTTTTATTTGAATATGATATGGGTCTGATCTGATCGTGTATAAAATTTCACGTAAAAATAATGTTTAACATTAACATCAATATAAGCTATTAATTTTATTTTTAGATATAAAAATTTAAATTTAAAAATGTTTATTTATTATTATTATTTTTCTTATAAAATAACCTATAATTTTTTTATTTGTAAAACTTAATTTAATTTTTTATTTTTATATTTTAATATCAAAATAAAATATAAAAAATTATTTAATTAATTAATTAATAATAAATAAATATTTATATTAATATTCTATGTTTTTATTATATTATATATGTTAAATTGTTATAATAATAAAACATATATAACTTCGTTTATTATTTTTTTTAGTTTATAAAAATTATTATGGGATATTTTTTAATTTTTTTAAAGTTTTTATGTAATATCTTCAATGTAAATAGAAAAAAAAAACTAAAAAGCATGATATAGTTTTTACGTTATAAAAATAAATTATAAGAAAACACTACAAGAAAAAATGCTTTTAGCGATCGAAAAAATCGATCGCTAATGGCTAAAATTCGATCAGCTATTCTATTAGCGACCAGAAATGGTTGGTCGCAAAAGGGCAAGTCGCTAATTGGTTAGCGACCGATTTATTTTTCGGTCGCTAAATAGCGACCAGATTCGGTAATCGCTAAAGTGGTCGCTAAATAATTTGGTCACTTATTCATTGAAGACCAAAATAGCGACCGAAAATTATATAATAAATCGGTCGCTAAATCAGCTGGTAAAGTTTTAAAAAGAGCGACCGATATATTCGATCGCTAATATATTAATATAATTATTTAAATAATAATTAAAATTGGTCGCTAAATCGGTCGCTAAATTGGAGACAAAGTTAAAAATAAAAGCGACGGATATAATCGATCGCTAATATATTAATTGAATTATTTAAATAATAATTTAAATCGATCGCTAAATCGGTCGCTAAATTTGAATTGTATATTATAATAAATTTGTAACGACCAAAAATTCGGTCGCTAAATTAATAACAAAGTTAATTATTTTTATTTATTTACATTTTTAATTATATCAAGTTCATTAGACAACTTTTTTTCTCCAATTGGACACAATTGTATTACATAATGAATGCTTAGTAGTTAGTAGTTAAGATGCATTCTCATCCATGAAATGTGGACTAATTGGTAAAAACAATAATAAATTAATAATAAGATGACACTGAATAGATATTGGTGCATCCATATTTAAATTACTTTTTCCATTCCACTATCACTCGGGATATGAGTCTTGATCATGAACCGAGAACTAGAGGTTTATTCCACAATTGAAGACTTCAAGCAACGATTATACCAACATGGAATACATGTCAAGGGAACACGAGATATATGACGAAGGGATCAGCGGTTAGAGGACCTCCAAAAAGGTGGAGAAGTTTGCATGAATTTTTCTTGAATGCTTGGGAAAGGTATATAAGGAAACCTTTTGATTCAGATACATTAAAATTTAAAATACTTCATGAACAGTGATGGCTAGGAAAATTTAAGCTAACCGAAATAATCTGCATGTTCTCACCATGCTCCATCTTTTGATGATCTTGCTTCAAATTCCAACTCTGATGGATCTCGCATAACTTCGTAAAACAATCGGTCCAGGTACAATCTCACAAGATAACTCATTTTATTAGAAGTTTCCTCAAATATATCAATAAATACAACTGTAGCAGCTAGCTATACAAAAATAGAAGGAAAATAGAAAGTGAAAAAAATTTTATGGTGGGAATGTTATTATCACTTTCATGTTCCTTCATTACGCCAAGTTATTCCTCATCTTCAAGTATCATATATCTTCTACCAAACATGTTCCTAATAACATAAAACGGCTTAACGTAAAAGTCATCACTTAAGCAGCAATGGTAGACACTGCAATTATATTAAATAATTCAATGTTGAATATTTGAATATGTGATGACAGATAGCATAGACACGAGAGACATAAAATAAAATAGACAACCTACCATAACTCAAGCAGCAATGAAAAACACTACAATTATATTAAATAAATCTAATGTTGACCATTTGAATACTTGAAGACAACATAACAACTTACTATGCTAAGAACCATAAGGTCCACCAGAAGACTCACCTTCCTTACATTTAGGAACCATCAACTCACTGTTAGGGACTAGTGCTAAGTCTTGGAGCCTAGCCTGAAACCAACTTTCAATCTAGAATTTCTCCAAAATAAAGGATTAATTAAAAACTACATAAAAAAAGGCACAACCATCTAAGAATATAGGAAAAGGAAAACAACAATATTTGAAGGATGTCGCACAGGAACCCACAGAAATAAAATACATGAGTTAGTGAGAAAGAACATTAACCTCTGTCCATTTTATAACAGAGCTTCCAAGCACGACCAGAGGAACGATTGCACAAACATCACATTCCAACACTCCTCAATGACAATACTTCTTCTATTACTGGAAAATAACCTAACAACCGAGTGAAAGCAGAACTCACTTGAAACTTCCAGGCAAGTTTTTGGTAGAATTCTCTGTCCAATGATCCTCCCTTAGGTTCCTTCAAGAAATTCTCCATTTTCTCAATCTGTTTGTCAGAGCACAAGTTCAAATCATTAACGGGACATAAGACACCTTCGCATTCTATAACCAAGGTTTTAAAAAATGGTATGCAATCAAGGTTTTTAGGCTGTCCACAACTAACCGGTTTAAACCAGACCCACACACAATTCATCCTTAACCAAGGAGAACAATCCACAGTAAAAAGGCATAAAAGAAATAGAACATAGCAGCAAAATGTGAACCGAAGCGCTTGACCCGTGACCCCTCTGACTCACCTCTAGTTCGCGGGGAACTCAATGGCACGATTGGGGCAACTGAGGCGTGGAAAGACCTCGATGGTGGAGGTTAGGTTGAGATTTAGGGATGGCCACGATGGTGGCCAGGGAGGCGGTGGTGATGACTGGGGTTTGGGGGTCCAAACAACAGGTGTTGGGGTGCAGTGCTCACGAGAAGCGCAGGGATTCGCGATGGAGTGGTGGCTCACAGGGTGGCGTGCGGTTGACGAGGAGCTTTGGTGGAGGTTGGATTAGGGTGAGGGCTGACTTGGGGGGAGCAGTGAGGGGGCTAGGGCTCGCCGAGAGTGAGGAGGAGATACTGGCCAAGGTTAAGAGGAATGGGTGAGTGAGGCGCGAGAGTTAGGGTTATTTGGGGATAAGTGGCGCGAGACAGGGAATTGAAAAATGTGGTTGTATATGATAGCGGTTAAACCTTACCGCTATTATAATAGCACTTCTAATAGCGGTTAAATCTTAACCGCTATTAGATAGCACGTATAATAGCGGTTAAATCATAACCGCTATTATATATATTCAAATATGATCGATCATTTGAAAATGTAATCGATCATAACCAAAAAATGTGGATGTCGCTCGAGCGAGACACTGTCGCTCAAGCGAAAAACAACCCGAGAATGCCAATTTTGTTCATGTGGCGTCGCTCGAGCGAGACAAGTGTTGCTCAAGCGAAATTACATCCGAGACTTCACAATCTTAAAATATGGTTGTATATAATAGCGGTTCCACAGGAACCGCTCTTAAATGGGAACTTATAATAGCGGTTAAACCTTAACCGCTATCTAACATGCACTTTAGATAGCGGTTAAGATAGAACCGCTATCTTATCCTCTCAACTATGATCGATCATTTCAAATTATGATCGATCATAATCACAACTTACATTAACTATTTTCTTGAATATTATGTTTTTAAATTTGCTATTAGAGAAAACCTTTCAGAATTCAAAATGTTTAATACTTTTAAATATTATAATTAACTTTATAAAAAATTAGGAAAAAAATTAATCCAAAAGAGTTCAAAAATGTATTATAATATTCTCAATTTTGAGTTTAATTATATTGTTCATTCTCAAAGTAGAAAATTATATTGTAATTATTTTAATTTAATAAAATATAATTTAAATTTTTAATACTAAAATTAAAAGATTAAATAATAATGAATTTAATTCTTTAAATTGAGTATTTAGAAAGTCAAATTATAGTTTCTCTGTTTTAAATAATTAAAATAAATAGTTAAAAATAAAAATCAAGACTAGTATTATCTTCAATTTATTAAAAGTGTAATCAAATCTCTATTTGCTTAGTTTTTTTTGTTTCAAACTTCTCAATTCTACATTTTTGTAACTTCTATCATTATATTATCATCCTCATCTCCTCCCATGTTCAACTTTATCTTTACAATAGTTAATATTCTTAAATAATCTATATTTTTAATTATAATTTTTGAATATATATTTCAGAAATTAATCAATTCTAATCTATTATTTGAAAAACTAATCAATTCTAATCAATAATTTACAAAACTAATCGATTATAATTAATTCTTTGAAAAAATTAGCAAATATGATCGATCATTTTGAAAATCTGATCGATCAGAATCTCAAAATCTTGTTGTATATGATAGCGGTTCCACTTGGAGCCGCTATTATATGTTCACTTTTAATAGCGATTAAAATATTAACCGCTCTTAAAAGTGCCAATGTCGCTTCGAGCGAGTCCAATGTCGCTCAAGCGAAATACAACCCGAGAATGCCAATTTTGTGCAGGTGGTGTCGCTCGAGCGACGTTATTTTCGCTTGAGCGATATTGCAAAAATCATATATAATTATGTATTATTTTCTCATTAGCGACCGATTTTAATTCGGTCGCTATTTCAATGTGTAATTTCGTCGCTAAATCAGTCGTTAAATGATTTTTTTATTTATGTATGAAATAACCACCAATTTAGCGACTGAAAATTTGCGACGCACAAAAATTTTTCGCTATTTCGGTCGCTAAATAAAGGAGTGAAAACCAAATCATATTTTGGTCAGCTAAATCGGTCAGCTAATTGCGACCGAATTAAAGTGGTCGCTAAATCGGTCTCTAAATGCGACTAAAAGTAAATCGGTCGCTAAATCGAAAAAATTCGATCGCTAATTTCGGTGGCTAAATGTGTTTTTTCTTGTAGTGAAAGTAAAACTTTAAAAACTAAAAAAAAAACTTATAAATTTAATATTATAAAATGATACCATGAAAAAAAAATTGAAAATAAATGAGTATAAAAAAAACATAAAGATATGTAAAGATAAAATGAATCTTTAATAATAATAAAAAAAAAGTTAGAAAAGTGAATAAATAAAAGAAGAAAAGATAAAAATATTAAAATAAAAAATGTATATTATAAGAGGATATATATGATATTTATTATAAATTAAAAATAAAAAAATAACTTTAATTATAGTTATAAAATATTTTTTATTTAATTTTAAAAATTTATTATTATTTTATATATATATATATATATATATATAATAATAATAATAATAATAATAATAATAATAATAATAATAATAATAATAATAATAATAATAATAATAATAATAATAATAATAATAATAATAATCCTGGTGATGGGGTCTCGTTTGTCGTAACACAGTGTAACGATGACGCAAAATTTAATCACATTTTGGACAATTCACCCCGTGATACCTCAGAATCTCGCACTTTGGTACCCCATTTGGAATCATCAGATTCTCTTGCCTCAGTTATCTCATTGCAGATAACATTAATTGTTTACAAATAAGGGCATTAGTTCTCACCATGTTGTTCTTGATGGAAAATCGTCAACCATGTTCATCAAGGCCTGGGCTTATGCATGTAAGTCATACGAAGAAGAATCACCAATATCTTTGATGCGGGAGTTAGAACCTTTATTTGATAGGGATCTCATCAAAGATCCAACTGGTCTTAAACTGTGTTCATAAATACCTGGACACAAATCGCATCTCAAATGGACCCTTCTGATACAAGCAACGGGCGAAGCTTAAAGATTATGCCACTACCAGCCCAGGAAAACCTACCCTTCTGATACAACTTTGTCTACCTTTGTCACTTGCTGTGCTTATGTGTCTGTCTGCATTGCTAAAGCCACTGATGAAGCTCAAAATGCTGAGAAATTCGCTCTAGCGTTCATAGTTAATTGCAGGGCTCGGTTAGAGCCTCCAATCCCTGACAATTACTTTGGCAATTGTGTGGCTTGACATATAGTGGATATACACAGCCAGAGGACTTTAAAAAGGAAGATGGGGTGGTTGTTGTTGCAAAGAGGATTTGGAGTAAAACAAAAATGCTGGATAAGGGAGCGATTGAAGGAATAGAGGCAGTGTTCCCTATGTTTATAGCTATGTTAAGGGAGGGAGTTAAGGGAATTAGTGTTGCGGGGTCCAACAGATTTGGTGTTTATGAAACTGATTTTGGTTGGGGAAGGCCTGCCAAGGTGGATATAACATCGGTAGATAGAGGTTTAAACATTGGTTGGGCAGAAAGCAAGGATGAGAAAGGTGGTGTTGAAGTGGGTCTAGCTCTGAACAAACATGTCATGCACCTGTTTCATGGAATTTTTTATGAAGGGTTACGCATTGACTAAGGGAGCTCTAGGCGTGATTCGACAGCTTATTGCAAAAGAGAAGTAAGTGTGTGAAGTTTTATTTATTTATTTATTTATTTTGTTCTGGTTTTCTCTGAACTCGACCGTTATGTTTATGTTAAATATCCCTGCATTGAGTAAAAGCTTCCTATTTTGCATTGAGTCATTATCCATCTTTCTCTTTTGCAAACGATGTTCATTTTAAGGGAGAAATTGGTGGCTTGTGAACTAGAATAGCCATTAACCGAAGGAGATGTAACACCTCTTGCTTGCTAAGTCATATAGATAATAATTTAGTAATTATAATATAATAATTGTCTCAATTAGGCTAGTTAGTCAAATAAATCTCAGTAATTGTTTTAAATATTGTGTCACTCCATTTGTATAATTCAGTTATTACATTAAATATAATTATATTTAGTGTACCTTTTTCTCATAATATTCTCTTGATATTTATTTTTAGACCTTTTTTTGTTAACATTGATATAAAGAGCTTTAAGATTCGGTAAGAAAAAGAAGAATGCGATGGTATGAACGTGTTGTATGATAATATGTTAGGTTTCGATAACAAGAACTTGAATCGGTATAATAGTTGTTGTGTGAAGATGAATGTCATTTTTTGTTTTCAAGAAGTCTTGGACACAATTCTGAATAGATATGAGAAGCTATCAGAGAACCCCATTGAGACATAGAATGTGACGTTTCGAGAGGAAAATGAAATGTGATTGCAAAGTTATGTTCTACATTCATTTGTATGTTGATTAAAACAACTTTGAGAATATTTTGTTGGCAAACTCGATGAAAGAAGTATGGGATATACTAGCGCACAATTACGCAGACGGAGAGAGGTTGAAGGTGGTGCGATTTCAAACCTTGCATCGTTAGTATGAGTTGTTGTAGATAGGGATGCAAGAAACCATCCAATAATACTTTGCAATATTGTTATCAATCACAAACTTGATGAAGTCTTGTGGTGAAAGTTTGAAAGAATGAGCAGTGGTGAAGAAGGTGATGAGAACATTCGATGTTAGGTTCAACATAATTTTTGCAGCTATCGAAGAGTCTAAAGATCTCAATTTGTTGAAACTTGATGAACTACATTATCATTGGAGGGTTACGAATAGCAATTACGTGAGAGAGCAAAAGAAATGTCAAATATAAAACAAACGATGTTGATGAAACAAAACTAGAAGAATGAAAGAAATCAAGGAAAATTGAACAAGAGATGTCAAGAAAAAAAAAAGGAAAAGGTAGAAACAATGGTGGACGAGAATCAGAAGGGAACAGAAAAGATCTTCACAATCGAGAGGTGACAAAGACAGAAACTCACAAGGAAGAGATGATCGATCAAGTTCTAGTGCGAGCAAGAAAAATGTACAGTGTTACAACTGGTACAAGTACAACCATTATGTTGTTGACTGTTTGAGCAAAGAAGAAGAAGTGAATGTTGCACAAATGAATATTTGCAAAAAAGGAGATGGTGATTGGATTGTCTCGAGTCCAAAAATGTAAAGACATATGTGAAGGTTGTATGATAAGGAAAGAAGCTAAAAATCCCTTTAAGGTGCGCATCGAGATCAGAAGCAAGGATGAGTTGAAAGTTATTTACATCGATGTGTGTAGACCCTTCGATGTTCCTTCACTAGGTGGAAACAAGTATTTTATGATATTCATCGATGACTATAGTAAGAAGATGTGGGTGTACTTGCTCGAGAAGAAGTCAAAAGTGTTTAATTGCTTCGTTGATTTTAAATTGATGGTTGAGAAACAATGTGATGTAGCTATTAAAATGTTGAGATCAGACAGTGGTGGAGAATACGATAATGATGAGTATTTTGCATGAGATTGTACCTTCTGTTGAATAATTGGCAAGCGTACCAATATTATCAATCGCAGTATAATATTTTGATTAAATAAAAGTCGATCCCACGAGGAATTGTTTCACTGGAAATTTCGAATCATTTGCTTACTAAGTGTATTAACACAAACTAGGTTTTCATACAATAAAAGCATTTAGTAACAGATGATGAGTATAATTTTCTATTTCCAACATTTTTTCTGGTTTTCTTGCTAGATGTAAATCCAATGTCAGATTTGTCAAAAATAAGTTTTTATGACCCAAGAAGAACATCAAGATTAGCTTGACCTTGTGTAAATTTAGAAACAGTTAGTAACAAAAAATCAATCTTCTTTTGTAAATCTGGACAATTATTACATGGTTTATTACATAAGCAATCAGAATTATCATGGATTAATTTTAAGAAATCAAGATCAGTTTCATCTTCAAGAATTTTCTTTTCAAAAGAATTAACTCTAGTTTCTAGCCAATTATTCATGCCTTTTAGCCTATCATTTTCTCTTTTAAGTTTCTTGGTTTCTTCATGCATTTCATTAAATGCTTCTTGCAATGAGTTATAATTCACAAAATTAGAAGAAGAATTAGAACTTACACTGCTGGTTTGATAATTCTAGTTAGCCATTAGACACAAGTTAGCTTCTTCATCATCAGAATTTTCTGTTGATGAGGTATCATTGTCATCCCATGCTATATATGTTCTTCTTTTGATCTTTTCTTCTTTCTTGTCATTGTATTTACTCTTTTCTGGACACTCCATTCTTACATGACCCTGCTTACCATAACCATAGCACTTATAGTTAAAGGAATCAAATTTCTTTTCATACCTTTTGTGTTTTTCTTTATCTTGGATCTTTCTCTTGAGAAACTTGTTAAACTTTTGACTAGCAGTCCAAGATTTTCACTTTCTTCTTCTGATTCTTGATCTTTTTCTTCAGCTTTGAGCGCTATGCTTCTACCTTTATTTTCAGAGATTTCTTGCTCATTGAATATGTTAATTTTCATCTCATGTTCTCTGAGTTTGCCAAATAAGGAGGTTGTTGTCATGATGGATAAGTCTTTTGACTATGATATTGTTGTGACCTTAGGCTGCCAAGACCTGTCAAGACATTTCAAAACTTTTATATTTAATTCTTCTTTATCAAAAGTCTTACCTAAGCCCATTAGATGGTTGATGATGTGAGTGAAGTGTTTCTTCACATCTACAATACTTTCTCCGATTTTCATTTTAAACAGCTCATATTCACTTATGAGAGTATGCTTTCTAGCTCTCTTTACATCAGCCGTTCCCTCATGAGTAAGCTCAAGAACTTCCCACATTTCCTTGGCAGATTTTCATTGAGAAACCCTGAAAAAATCATCCATGTTTAGTGCAGAAGTAATTATGTTTTTAGCAGTACAATCACTTTGAACTTTTCTTTTCTCTTCATCATTTACGCTAGATCATTCTTTTTCTGTAATTAATGGACCATTAACAATTATATCCCAAACATTTCTATCAATAGATTCAATAAAGATCTTCATCCTAATCTTCCAAAATGGATAATCTGTACCACAAAACAGTGGAGGTCTATTAATAAAAGCTCCCTCAGAAAAAAGTAATTTATTTTCAGCCATGAAAGATTTGAACCGAAAGTCTTGAGTATTTTTCAAGACCCTTGCTCTGATACCAATTGTTAGAAAAAGAGGCTGAGATCAAGAGGGGGGGGGGGGAAATTGATCTTTGAAAGATTTTCACAATTTACAAATTATCTATTTCAAAGATTAAGAGTTCTGACCAATTCTTGAATCAAGAAAAACAAACAATTAAAATAAAGGCAGCAACAAAATTAAAGAGAGTAAGCTTTAGAGAAATACAACCAAGATTTATACTGGTTCACCCAATCCCAGGGCTACGTCCAGTTCTCAGCCAAATTCCAGCTGAGTTCCACTAGATTAAATGTTTTACAGATTACAGATTCCAATCACACACCCAATCTACCACAAGACCCAAATTCCAGATCTTGTACCTAAACCTTCACCAAGAACCAAATTCCAGTTCTTGAACCAACTTGCAGCCAAATTCCAGCTACAGAACCAGTGCCCAATAATTCCAGACACCCAATCTTACCACAAGAACCAAATTCCAGTTCTTGCACCTAAACCTTCACCAAGAACCAAGTTCCAGGTCTTGAATAAACCTGCAGCCAAATTCCAACTACAGAACCAGTGCCCACACTTCTAGACACCCACAATACAATAATGAAATGTAAAGAAACAAAGAGAAGAAACTAGAACAATCAAACTCGGATTATGCAGTCCTTGTAGTATGAGTTTCTTCACAAAAAGAATGCAAAAATTGCCTCAAGAAAGAACTTTGAAAAACTTCACAAAACTTGCGTGATTCTATCTTGAAAATAACTCTTATGATTGCTTGATTGATTGCTCAAAAGTATATCTTAAAAGAGTGAAACAATCCTGTTTATATAGAGATTTGTTCTAACTACTGGTTTAATTAATCCATTAAAACAATCTTTTTAATCTGTTAAAAGTCTTGAATTATTTTGTTAAAACTTCTTTTAATATGTTAAAATATTCTTGATTATTTTCTAGATTTGTTTTAATTGATACGACAACATTTTAATCGATTAAAACAATTAACAAAAAGTCCCTTAAGTTGTTTTAATCGATTAATTCACAATTTAATCGATTAAAATTCTGCCAAAAACTTTCATAAAACTCTCTAAGTAATTTTAACTGATAACAACAAGTTTTAATCGATTAAAACAGTTAACAAAAAGTTTCTTAAGTTGTTTTAATCGATTAAATCACAGTTTAATTGATTAAAATTATTCTGATCGATCTTATGTGAGATTTAATCGGTTAAAACTCATTCTGATCGATCATATGCTAGATTACATCGATTAAAAAGTACTTCAAGTGGTTTTTATCGATTATTTCGAAGTTATATCGATTAAAATACTGCCATAATATTTCCCAGAACATTTTAAGTGATTTTAATTGATTATTTCGAAACTATATCAGTTAAAACACTGACATAAGGTTTTAGAAAACTCCTTTAATGAAAATAATCGATTAATTCGAAAGTGTATTGATTAAAACAGTTCCAGTGAATGCTTTAAAAGGTTTTAATCGATTATTTCGA